AAAAAACTATGTTGAACAAAAGCTCAATGTTCAAGTTGTACAAAGTAGTCAGACAAACACATACAGTGAATACTCAATCTCTCCTGACTAGATAGTGATACACGAGAGGAAAATACAGGTGACACACAAGGAACACAAAGAACTAGGCCTTGTTGAAAGTAATCTGAACTGTGAAGAATGGTTAGTGGCAGAGGTGGATTCTCTGAAAATACTATCCCAGAATGTGATAACAAGGTCAAGAAGTTTACAGAATGAAACTGAAGTTTAAAAAAAAAAAAAAAAATCAATATATACTGAATGAAATCAACTATCTCTAGAAGACCTTCAATTTATAAAATGATGTCTGGTTCCTCCTTTCTTTAGTAGAAAAACTCCTCTTACATGTCAAAAAAGTCACAGCATTCAATGAAAGTATGGCAATTTATTTTTATTGACATGCTTTTTGGGCTGTGGTGTTCTAGTCTCTTATATTCATTCTGTGGCTTCTCAAAGGCTCACAGTTTGGCCCAAGAAGACAGATCCACTATCAAACAGATGGAAAAGAAAGCTGCAGCTTACTTGATTATTTTATAATATCTGCATAAGAGTAAGACGTTGTGTGCGTGTTGACCCTGTACTGTATTTGGGTAAACAGGGACTAGGAGGGGACTTGGCTACAGGCTTCAATTGGCTCAAAAGATCTCAAAAGGACAGATCAGTTCTGGATCCTCCTGGGCCTCATCCAGAAAGATTTTAGTGGTTGGAGTCAGTAATGAGAATAGAAGTCACTGTGTGGGTATGGTGTCCCTGAAATGTAGAGGCACAGGAACCACTTTATAGGAGACTGGGTTTCAGGGCTAATCCACTGAAAGAGGATGTCTCTGGCCCACTGAGCTTTTAGTCCTGTAGTAATCAATGCTAAGCTGCAGAGCAGCAGCGTCACAGTGCTCCACAAGGACATTTTTATCTTTCCCTGATCTCAGAGTTCCATTAAGATCAAGCCATTGTCAGACAAGCTAGACAATGATTCAGTACTAGATAAATATCTGAAATGCCTATCTCATACATGGGAATCACCACTTTTACATGGTGTCATACATGCAAAAGGCTACCACTGTAGACACAGTTGTTGTTGTTGTTGTTATGTGCCGTCGAGTCGGCCCCGACTCATAGCGACCCCTCCTTGGGTTTCCAAGGCAGTATCACTGCTGAAGTAGGATTGCCCAACCTTCCTTCCAAGGAGTGGATGGTGGGTTTGAACCGCCAGCCTTCTGGTTAGCAGTCAAGTGCTTTAGCCACTATGCTACCAGAGTTCCTTGTAGACAGAGGAGTAACAAATGTGATGTGCAAAGGTAACAGATTTTCCAAATACCTTAGAGCTTAGAGCTACCCGGAGTCCATAGGGGGAGTTAGTCATCCAGCCTGTGGACTTTCCTGTTGTTGTCTTTACTGGTACCACACTTCCACCTCGCTGAAACACTGGTATCTACACAGAACAGGGAAGGAGTATTCTATAAGGAGATTTCAAAGTAGAATTTAAAAACATTTACTAACATATGACTCATACTTACATCTTTACAAGTACAGACTGGAGGTCAAAATAAATTTGTGGGCACAGAGATGGCATTTCCCAATATGAGGACGATGGCATTAAAAGAAAAAAACTTTAAACACTAACAAAATGGCTTAACTTCTTAATTAATGGGAGACTTCCCATTTTTCACTAATTGTTTAAAAATCTATACTTATATAGTAGGTTGAATAGTAGCCCTCCATATCCTAACCCCTGGAACCTATCTATGAATGTCATAGATATTTGGAAAAGAGTTTTTGCAAAAAAATTAAGGATCTTAAAATAAGATCATCTTGGATTACTCAGGTGAGCTCTAAATCAAATGACAAGTGTCCTTATAAGAGATCAAATAGACTGACACAGGGAGGTGAAGTACATGTGAAGACAGAAGCAGATACTGGAGTTCTACAGCCACAAACCAAGGACACCTGGAACCACCAGAAGCTGAAAGAGACAAGGAATGAGTCTCTTCTAGAATCCTCAGAGGCAGCCCTTGTACTTCTAGCCTCCAGAACTGTGAGGGAACAAATTCCTGTTGTTGAAAACCACCAAGCTGGTGATAGTTTGTTATGACAGCCACAGGAAATTAATACAATCTGTCTTTAGTGTTTTTTTCTTCTAAGTGATGAACTATATTCTGCCCATTCTATTAGTGGCCTTTCCTATTCTGTATTTTGTAATTTTCCTGTTAAGTGTAGTACACATGTTTATTTCTAAGGCTTTGCTAAAGAGTGAACTGCCACCTCGGTTGTCTTATTAGGCTGTCTCATCAGGGCCTGACACCTGGAGGAAGCTGCCAACTGAAATGTTGGTGGCTTGAGTTTACTCTGGCCTAACAATTGTGAAATCTGAGTATATGTTATCTTTCTTTTCCCCACATTTGCAAACAGTGATATAATTTTCATGCCATGTAATTCACCCATTTTAAGTATATAATTAAATGGCTTTAGTATATTTACAGCTATGCAACCATCACTACAATCAATTTTAAAATATTTTATCACCCTAAAAAGAAACTCTGTACCCATTAGGAGGTATTCATCATTTTCCCACAAACCCTCCCTCTGCCCCAGCTCTAGGCAACCACTAATCTACTTTTTATCTCTATATGTATGTGTGGGAGGTCTGGTTGAGTAGTGCCTAAGGCACTTGACTGCTAACCAGAAGGCTGGCGGTTCAAACCCACCAGCCACTCCTCGGAAGGAAGGTTGGGCAATCCTACTTCCGTAGTGCTGCTGCCTCTGAAACCCAAGGAGGGGTCGCTATGAATCCGGTCCGACTCAACAGCACATAACAACAACAACATTATGTACGTGTTATCATGCAGGACACTAACAATCTTGGTTCTTTCTACATAGACACAACAGGTAAAAATAATAGTCTGAAAATAATTTACAGTGTCCAAGGCTACTGGGATCTTCACACTGCGTGCGCCTTCCCAATGAGCAAATGTCTTAGAGTCATACCAGACCTAAAAGAGAACAGACCCCAGTGAAGAGAGCATATGAGCAACTCTGCTCCTGATTACATTACACAGTAAAACATTCACTTATCTGGATATCAAATAACCAAAAGCTAAAGTAAGTATTGTATATCTTGGGTAGGAGTCAGGAAGAGTATATGCCAATATCCCAAAAGACCAACTAAGTACTGTGACTTATTAATTTGACAAAAAGACCATTCATTTGTCTATCCAGAAATTATTTACTGAACAATGCACTATGTGCTAGGCACTGTACTGGGTGCTGGTATATATATGAGTAAACAGAAAAGACATAGTTCTTACCCTCATAGAAGATGGGATTATAAAAATTTAATGCTTCTAGGAGTAGAAGAGATCATGAAAAATTTCAGGGAAAAAAAAGAAGAAAAGCACATTGTAAGCTAATAAATTACAAATGAGACGGGAGAAAAGAAGTGTCGGAGAAGGAAACAGATATCCTGGGAGAAAGACAATAGAAACTTGGGTTTCTCTCATCGTATCTTTTTTTTAAAATGAGCATGGAAAGGGATAAAGCTTAAATTCTCATCTGGGATTCCTGTCAAGAGGGTTTAGTTGCTGAAGTACCAAAAAGGTCCCACCAAGTAATTTGATGGGATAAATCCTTAAGATATCCAATAGGAATCAGCATGAAAACAAAAACCTCTTTTTCTCCCTTCTAACCCAGTATAATTCCTGGCAGCCATGGAGTGTATTTCATAAATTCATCCTAGGATTATTATATCCTGTATATAGCAGAGGAGCCCTGGTAGCAAAGTTGTTAAAATGCTCAGCTGCAAACCAAAAGGTCATTGATTCAAACCTACCAGCCATTCCATGGGAGAAAGATGTGGCAGTCTGCTTCTGTAAAGGTTTACAGCCTTGGAAACCCTATGGGACAGCTCTACTCTGTTCTGTAGGGTCTTTATGAGTCAGAATCAACTTGATGGCAGTGGGTTTTGAATTTTATATAGCAGGGCTGTTGAGTCTGTCACTGTCCTGCTGTGAATGTGATAAGACTATCTATGACTTGACTATCACTAGCTACAGTAAACTTTTAACAAGATCAACTCTGCTTTGGTCATGATATTATCTTTAGCTGAATTCAGTTTGCTAACATTTTGCATTTTGTCAAGGATTTAAGTGTCTATGTTTATGGAGGATACTGTCATAGGTTTTTTTTTTTTTTCCCCCTGTAAAGTCTTTCTCTGGTATCTCTCTCTCTCTTTCTTCCTCTCTCCCTCTCTCTTTGGCCAATTCTAATAGTTTTATGGTAGCAGTGAAAGGTAAAAAACTGGTTCAGATAAGATTTGGGTATTACCTGTCCACTATTTCCAGAACTAATTACAATGAGAGGTGAAGGATCTATGCAGGTGCCATATACAAAGATCTCCAACCTAAGATGGGTTTAAGTGGTACAAAGCACGATATAGGTCAGGCTTAGAGACTATCTTCGAGCAAGTATGCACTATGTGCCAGGTACTGATGATAGAGAATAAACATGGCAGAAAAAATAACTGCCCTCAAGGAGCTAAAATTTTAGCTAGAGAGACAGAAAGTAAACAAAACGAATCAGTAAAATATATAGACTGCTAGAAAGTGGCAGGTTCTGGGGAGAAAAATAAAGGCTACAGGATGGCTAGATAGCACTAGGGGACAGTAGCAGTAGTTTGTAATTTTAAATAGATGGTCAGCAAAGGCTTCATTGAAGAGAGAGTCAAGCAAAGACTTTAAGGAGGTTAGGGAATACACCATACACAAATAAGGGGCAAGTGACAGTTGAGGGACTGAATTAGCCACATCTGATAGCCTCCTTACACAACTAATCAACTGAGGTAAAGGGGCAGGCTTGGCAAGAAATAGCTTGGTTCTTTTACCCAGTGTTTGTGAAGATGTAGCAAGAGAAACAATCACAGAACACTCTGGAAAATAGTGTTGAAGGAATATAGTTCATAGTCACAACAATGTGCTTGCAGTGATGACAGGTCACTAGTAAAAATTAGTGGCTCAATAGGGAGGGGACCCTACTTAGCCCTTAATGGGAGCCTACTGTTTCGACACAACCTTTGTTAGAATCCACGTGAAAAACTATAAGCACAAATGCTAAGCAGGACACTATATTTAGTTGTTGCTACATTTAATCTTTTTCTCACATTTCATCTGGGAAGAGAAAACTTTGTAAAGAGGCTTCCACTTCAGAACTACAAATTACTGGAGAAACAAAGAAGAACAAAATTCATTAACATTCTAGAGAAAAGCCTGCTTACTGTGATAGCAAAATAGTGGTCCCTGAAAAAGATACATAGGTACTCCTTACTTTTCAAAAGGAGCTCTGGTGGCATAGTGCCTAAAGCATCTGATGGCTAATCAGAAGGCTGGTGGGTCAAACCCACCAGCCAATCCTCGGAAGGAAGGTTGGGCAATTTACTTCTGTAGCAGCAAGTATGATCTGGCTTAGCTACCTCACCACTTGCCATGACAGTCCAGGAATATCTTGACAGGGCAGTCCGACATCAGCTTAGTATCTATCAAGGCTCCTCCTCTGCTGCTGTAGCCTGTGGCAATGTTGCAATGCTCAAGGACTCTCTCTGTCTCCTTCCTGCCTTCTATTTCTGATACTACGCCTCAGAAACCCAAGGAGGGGTCACTGTGAGTCAAATCGCACTGGATAGCAGTCCGTTGTATTGTTGTTACTTTTCGGAAGTTCGCTTTATGCTGCTTCTCTTTTACAAAAAACCTACATTAGTACCGTTTTTACTAGCTGAAAGAGATCCGAAGAGGAGTTTTGATTTTAAGAAAACAACTGAAAAGCTAAACTAGTATTCAGCGTTTGTTTGGCAGCGAGCCATTAAAGAGGCAGAGCGCACTTGGGCAGAGAGAATGGAATCGCCAGGCTCCTTCCCCAGGAACTACACTCAGTGTTTCTGCATCAAGCCACTGCAGCTTTGAACTGTGTCTGTAAACACTATATGCTAGTGTTGTTTTAGGTTTCATGTGTTATTTGGTATGATTTGGTAAGTTATTTTTTGGGTCTTGGACTGCTCCCACATAAAGTAATGGTGAGTGCTTGCTTTGGCAGCACATATTCTAAAAATAAATAAATAGATAAATAGATAAATAAATAAAAGTAATGGTGATTGCTTCTTTCAGCTTACAATAGGTTTCAGAGTAATGCTCTACTTTCAGATAGTGGAGAAAACCTGTATTCATTTCTTAAGCTCCTTTAATAATTTAAGGTATTACCTTAAATGGTAACATTTATGAATAAATTAAAGATCTTTTTTTTTTTTTAAATTGTGATTTGGGTGAAGATTTACAGAGCAAATTCACTTTCCATACAGCAGTTCACATATACTTTGTCTCATGTCATTGACCACAGTT